GTGTCCCAGAATACCGTGCCTGTCGTTCCCGTACGGCAACACACCGTAAAATACCGCCTGTTTCATATCCACAACGTCAGCGAATTTTCATGGCAGTAAGCGAAACGGGGAAACGCACCTCGTTAATCTTAGCTTTCAAGAACGGGTTCTTGATGTACCATGTCGAAGTAAGGAACGTCAGCGCAAAGATCACAAGCTCGTCCTTTCCAGACAAGTCAAGACTCTCTGGCGAGTGCCTTCAAGCCCATCAACTGCCCATGCGCATTTCACAAAAGCGACGAAAAACATACCGCACGACAAACAAAAAGAACTCTACCACATCCTCAATAATAAACTCCGGAAGGACTCGGAACGTCATCGGAACGTCCTTCGGAAGGGGCAGCCTGCCAAAGAATGTCGCGCATCAGCCATCACGCCAAAAAAAACTTCTTATTCAAAGCTGAGAAACGCACTCAACGACAGGATTCGGATGCGCCCCCTGCGGATCGACACTCCGGATCAACCAAGTCGACGCAAAGTTTGTGAACCCTATATACCGGAACACAAGCTCAGGGTCGAGCAGCTGAACGCGGTACGCAAGTTGTTGGGACTGGATCTTTGACATTTCGTTCTTTTTTTCGTGAGATTGTTATACTCAAGCCATGGGATTAGTGCGTGAAAAATACGTACCTTGGCATTGTCGATGGCTGCTTGCGCGTGTGCTTGTTGAGGGGTCTACAGATACAACATGAGGCCATTATGCATGATCATCGAAGAAAAAATACGCGCCCCCATCCACGACCCATCCCCAGCAATCATATCATGATGCCTCTGGTAATCATCAAGAGTCTTCCCCAAGTCCTCGTACACCTGGATCGTGCGTATGTATCCATAGTGTCCTAGCGCATTGCAGAGATAGAAAATGTCGGAGATGAAGTTGGGCGTTGCGGCTGAGGCGGTCAAGGTGATAAGATTTAGATGCGAAGTGTGTGCGAGCATACAGTTGCATTGCGTGTCGAGATTTTTTTTGGTGGAGCATAGCCATCAATAGGGAAACATGCTAAGGTGAGGGAACACCCACCCTTTGACTTGCTCTCCTCGACCCATTGGGCAGCTTCATCGCTCGTCGCTTTGATCCTCGTTTCTTCCTTCAGATCAATTCGGGTAGACACCGAAAAATAATAGGGGTCTATGCGGTCCATCTGTGCTCACAGAACAGCATCCAAAATGCATGCAATCACACAATAACGTTTACAGGAATAGAAGAATAGTAGCAAGTCATGAGGGAGTCTGGAATTCATTGAGGATAAACGGACAAACCTTTGTATACCTTGCGTCCATAAAGGGCTCCGCGAATCTCAGCAGCACGCTCTGTAGATTGACCATGAAGCTGTCGGACGCGACTGTGTCGGGTTCAACCTGCGCAAGTGCTGATTAGCATCCCTGTGCACAGGAAGGAAAGAGAACATACCTGCATTCCTGCACGTTTTACGTTGAGACGTACTACCGTTGCAAAGTATTCTAATACCCGCTCACGCGCCTCGGGAGACGTGCGCACAAGGGTGTTAAATATTTGGAAGAGGGAGGACTGAACCACAGGTGCGAATAAAAAGGACCCGAAAGTGAGCAAATAATACAGGGAACCATGAGCCAAAATTACTCGCCTGCAAACTCTTCAATGTCCCTCTCAAACTCGCATTCGACGATTCAACATCCGCACGACTGCGTTTCGTCGGGTCGCTAAAGTATGTCTGCGCAATACCTGGCTGTTGGCGCACGACGTAAGTCAGACACGTCATCATCCACACGCATCACGGCACAACACTCACCCACTCCCGACTGAATGTCCCCAACCTCAGCAGCGGGCCCATGAGAGACAGCCTCTCAAAGTTCGCAGCCGTCACTTCCACCCCGAAACCCTCACCGAGCCATTGCGGCATTTTCGTGATCATCTCCGCGATGGGCTTTACTCCAACGAGGGCTTCCATGCCGCCTATGACGCCGCGCCATGCTGAGTCCCCGCCGCTTCCGCCGATGCCCTCGGATGGTATGATAAGGGAGTGCGCGACGAGGGTGCTGATGAGGGTGCTCAGTGTGCTTAAAAGTTCATCCTGGAGGAAGAAATAAGTTTGAGCTTGAGGGAATGTATGTGGTTCTACGATAGATGTTGTGAGGTAAAACCACACGCACTGGGTCTGTAAAGCGAGCTGCAAGGTCCTGCAAGAACGGCTGAATCTCTGTGGGAGCCAGCGTGGTTTGAGGGGTGGCTGTGGATGCATACAGAGGCGTAGAAAGGGTAGAAAGGGAGAGCAGGGGTGTGAGCAGCTCGTGTGAACCGAGGGTTGATAGCGGGCGGACTATAAATTTAAGAGAAAGTAAAGTTGAAACAGGCGGAAGAGAGAAAGGGTAACTATTCAGTTGACCCGTCAATTAAATATGAGGAGAACGCACTCGGCGGGTTGTGGGAACATATCTGGCTCCTGAAGGCTAAGACCTGTGTAACTGATGATGAGGGTCTCTGAGCTTGTCGAGGAGTACAGTGGCCTGCTGGGTTTCAGAGACGGGGTTCTGGGATTTTGTGAGATGATTTATTAAGGTGTAGAAGAGGTGAGAGCACCTTCTTGAGTAAAGTGATTTGGCAGTGTTGATACGCTTCCAGCAGCCTACAAGATACTCGAAGACGGACTGAGGAGGGAGAGAGGCAAGTACTGAAACATATTCGAGGTCATCGCTGCATTTACGACTTGGTCAGTGATCGTTTAAACTCAGGCGGTGATCGAGTGCAAACGTTTGAATAGGATCGATGAATGAAGATATGAAAATGGATGATAAGAGGCGACCGAAGAAAGAAACTTACGACATGGCCTGGGCATCAAGCTCGAGGCGAGTGATGAGGAGTCGATCCACGATATCGCTCGTAAGAGTCATGTGGGCTATTAAAGCTACATCGGTGAAACAAGTGGATTATATATAAGACGTACAGTAACCCTCAGACTCAAGTTCAGCTTGAAGATGCTTGAGCCACACGAGATCATACTCGTTTGCCTCGGCAATTGATTTCTGTTCACCAATGAGGTACAATTATAACGGCAAAGAAGCGGAGAGCATACGCTAAGTGTAACCTTGAGGACTGTAGATATTGTGTCGTTCTCCCATGTTTGGTAATCGACTTTGGGAGCAGGCGCGGCGGACTTCCTCTTCAAAGGGACATTACGTTGAGGGGCGGAGTTGTTGATTGGGGTGGAATGAAAGGAGGTTTTTGTTTTGGTGTGGAAGCTGGGCTACGGGGGTTGAAGGCCCAGGAGAGGCGGGCGAAGGGTTGGTGAATTAGATGTAGATCCCGCCTGTAACTTTGCAAGGCGCTTTGCTCGGATCTGGTGCACGAATGATCAGCTATCTTCAGCATAACTAAACGAAATAACCATACACGATCAGCATCAGTGGGTTCACTCATCGTCCAGGTCGTCAACTAAACTGTAACTTGGTACACTGCTAGATGCCCTTTATATCAACACGTGACTAGAGTTTGTCTCCTTTAGCTGTCCCTCTCTTTTTGGTTGCGATCCATCAAAGCGACTAGAAAAAAAAGACTATGGATATACAGTATCGAGCTTCGATCTCAGTCAATTATGGGGAGAACTACCACTCCATAAGACCAAACATTTCCAGGAAGCCCACGAGTCCTCCAAGTCCTTCCAATCGAGCACTTTCTGGATCATCGAAATTGTGCTCTCCAAATTCCAGCGCCTCGTCGAGGAAATCGTCATCCAAGCGAAGCCTGCAGATTATTTCTGCCCTCGAATGGAGTTTTGAATGGGGTACGCGGAGAGCCCATCTGTCCACCGCTGGGAGACTAGGTAAGGACGTTAGCGATTCCGACGACATGGAAGTGTCCACTCCAACGTTGACTCCACTCGGAGACACAGGGGACTCGATGATGTCTGCTGGGGGCTCTCGGTCGCGACCCAGGTTGTGCTTGAGCCAAGAAAGCCTTTTGCCACTTCGGCATCGAAAAGTTCTGGAGGGAGGCGTTCTTTTTCGACATCTGACTTTCGCCTGGTGAAAGATGTAATGAACACCGAGAACGTGTGCAGGGGAAAAAGTTGTACATACGCATCCTCGAAGCCGGAAATGGCATCTTTAATGCCCTCAGTATCCAAGACTAGCGTTCCGTATGGCAACTTGCTAGAACCAGATATGCTCTTGAGCACCGAAACCTTCTCTGACTCCTCTCTGCTCCAGATTCGCCAGACTAGCGCAACGTCGAAGTTGAGAGTCACCTCCGAGGCACTATTTACGACACTTACTTCCGACATGCGTCTGGAAAGGCATCATGGGCAAGTATGAGGACGAGCTCGACTTGTGGCTTTCATATCCCGCCGAACCCTCCGTTCAACCCCTGCAAACTCACCGGGAGCAATAGCTATCTTGGACTTTTGGGTGTCGCATGGGGTCTTGGATTGTGGGGTCGCGTTTCACAGATGGAGGCTTGAACACCGGTGATGATACCTTGTGCATATCATTGGGCGACTCCCATTCGCGCTCTAAACTGCCAGATTGTGTTCCCGAAGACCTTTAGATGAACCACCATACAACCGTGTTTCCTTCTCTGGAACTGACGACCATGCCTGCAACTCATCCAATACAACTCTCGAGGTCCACTGGACTTGTGTCACTTTGTAACTTTGTCATTGGGCTATTTTTACTTCACACAAATTGTATAATATTAATATGGTCAGGCTTGCTTCACTGAGCCAATTGAAATAAGTATTGTGTCGTGCTTTCTGATTAATTATTGCTGCTTGCTTTTGCGCAATGCGTGCATACTAATCTCCACTTGAGGCTTTCACATTGACACGATTTGCTGTGTCAAATACTTGAAAATTTGATGTAACTGAAAGCCACAAATTACATACATATACTCGTCTACATTGAGCACACTTGTGTGGGCCACATCAGGGAGGTTACATAAAACGCAGACCAATCGCAGGTGAAATAAGGAGCAAAGCGGAAAGTGTAAACTACTGGTGATATCTAGCGTGATTGAGGCTTGCCGCATACTTCCACATAGTTTCTATCAATATTGTCCCCATGTTCACGACGTATGTGACCATCCAAAGCACAGTGACGGCGCGGCAGATTATGCTTTGAGAGGAAAAGCCTGTTATCAACATCGCTGGGGTGAAAATGCATAAGGGACCGGAGAGCCTCAAATGATGGAATAAGTCACCAAATATGAAACAATGTAGGGACCAGGCGACGAAGAACATGGGGGTGACTATTGACAACAGGGTAAGATAACACGAAGTAGCCGCCTGGCTTGAGTTGCTGATCGTATTTAGGTCAGTTGGTGCAATCGGTGTGGTGACGATGATCCTTACTTCTTGAGTCCAATGCCGATCGGTGTGTATCCAACGTATCATGCCGGAGCCGGATGTCAACAGTGCGATCATAGCGAGCATGAGCGATATAAAGAGCAGACAATGCGGAGCGGGTGACGTATAGTCAAAGTATGACACAGGGGAGCCCGTAGTGACGAAGACACCACTTAAAGCGAGGGCGACGCTTGCCTTTGTGGGAGAATGTCAGCGTTGGCTAGAGCTCGTGGCGCACGCGGAGTTGGATAGCTTACTGTGGTGATGGTGCTGGCCAGGATAGAGCACAATTTGTTCCTAACGATTTCGAACGCTTCCTCGGATTGCAGCGACTTCCAAAGATCATTAAGATCTGGGCGTCCCAGTGCCAAAAAACAGAGTACCCTCATTAAAAGAGACCTGCGACGAAGGGCTTCGGGAAGGGGTTGTTCTTCAGTAAGTGCTCTTGGGCCAGTCACATGTAACTTGAAGGGCAAGCGTAATTCAGTGATACAGCAAGGTTTTCAAAGTTTTCAAAGCGCACCTCAGTGAAATAGAGTGAGGCCATGGAGCCAAATGGAAGAGTAAAGATGGACTAAGGCTCATACTGAGAACAGGGAGTTGCGACCTTTTATAAAGGAAGAATGAAGCTGTGATTGTAATACCCGCTTCGGCAGCAATGGGGCTTCAAATGACGCCTCCGAGGGTCCACTAGTTCGGTTCAGGGCATGAGTTTAGGGCCCGTGGTTAATTTTAGTACCAAGAAAGTCGACTTGAAGGTCTTGTGCTAGTGGTGAGAAAATAGACTCGACGTTAGATGTCTTCGAATGCACCCAGTGAAAACCGGACCTCACCGTATCGACGGAAAACGGCCGTAATATTGATGAACCCCAGGCAAAACTGGACATGGCCAGAACGGTTGAGATTGCGTGAAATATCGTTTAGACATATAATTTATGCTAAAATATTGTGTAATCTGCAACGGCACCACATTGCTATCGTTTCGTTGTCACTGTACTATCCCTTCCACTGCAATCGGCACCCCACAGAAGTCGGCAGTCACGCAAATGTCACCGTGAGTCACGACATGTCACGTAGGCCGATTTCAAAGTCAGTTCGGCAGTCAAGCAAGAGCGCAAGGTCAATTAGTATTCGGCGTGAATGTTTGAACGAGCAAGTACAGTATTGACTAGTAGATATACCTAAGTACGAGGGTGACTGTTATTAGTGCCATAGTTGTAAAATTGAGGTGGATGTATAGGGAGACTGTGTACATTGTATGGATGGCCAGGCTGAGCCTGAGGTTGTCTATGTAAGTTCGATGATGATGCAATGGGACCGCTGGATGGATTATTATTCTGCATTGTAGGGTAATATGGCGCCTGAAGAGCTGGATTAGGGTAGAATTGATGAAAATATGGCTGGTTAGTAAGGTGCGAAGGATAATTTGAGTTGAAAGCATGCGCGGGAGAAGTGAAAAAATGATTGCCGCTGAAAGCCACAGTGTTTGACGAGGTGGCGCCGTTGTCCTGCGAGGTGCCGCTAGTACTGGCCTGTCCCGTTGATGATGCGGTGGCCGAATTCTTTGAACGTGTTTTTCCTGTCTGGAAGAGCGCAGAAAAACGTTCATTATCAGCAAAGTGCTGATTTTCAGCATCAGCAAGAAACTCTTTGATTCTCACTCGGAGTTCGTCGACTGTCCCATCTCTCGAAATCTTAAGAGCACCAGCGAGCGTGATGAAGTCATCCTTGTGCTGGAGTGTTGAGAGTGCATCAAATGTCTTCGACCCAATATCATGTTCAATCTGAGCATGACGCACTTCGTCTTCAGACTTCTTTTTGGCCTGTTTCTCTGCATCGAGCTTGTCTTTTTCACACTGCTCTTCCTCCACTTTATTGAAGTCCTCCTTGAGCTCTGGGTGTGTCATGAAACGGGCCTGTAATTTGATGGATTTCCTTGGCTGTTTCTTTTTCTTTACATTCTCCAACTCCAGTCGAGATTGAGCCAATGCCTGCTGTGCCATTGTACAGTGTGCATTTGTAGTGTTGAGCTGGGCAGTCAGGATCTGAGTCGTCTGAACTAATGCCCCATTCTGCTCATACATGCACTGGAGCTCATGCCAAAGTTCCTCCTTTGTCAATGTCATTGCCTGAACATATGAGGGGATAACTGGATGTTGGATGGGGCCTGATAGTTGCAATGTTGAGCAGGTGATGCGAGTGTCATTAGAGGGGGGCTGTGTGTCTTGCTGGGGCATCTCTCCTTCGTCTTTGTCTTCATCTGACTCTGAGTCGTCACTTTGAGGTCCTTCCGAGTCGCCTGAGTCAGAGCTCCGAGAGTCCGAGTCTGAGTCATGTTCATCAACAGCCATGGGAAAAAAATCGCTGTCATCCTCTGAATCCTCTTCTTCATGGTTGCTGTCCAGTCTCATCAACTGGTCAAATTCTTCAATGTCAGAAGGAATTACCATTGGAGATGAAGGGACTTCAGAAGGATATGATGGGGGAAGATGTGCAGTAGTTGAATAAACCAGGCTTGGTGCAAAGTCCTTGTCTGTGAAGACCGATGGATCAAGAGGATAGATACCGGTTTTTTTAAATGCTTTCTGGATGAGTTCTGGTGTAATGACGTGGTGAATGGCCATATATTCATGAATAAAATTATAGTGATCAATTTCAACCCCATCAGCAAGGCGTTTGTCACAATGTTTGGTCCAAGCACGCTGAACAGAGGAAAAAACGCCCACATCCAGTGGTTGAATTTTGTGTGTGGTTTTCAATGGAAAGGCATGGATTATGACACCATTATCATAAGCTGCCCTTTTGATAGCTCTTTGTTCATGTGAACTATGACCATCAACCGTCAGAACAATTGGTTTCTCAGGATCAACACGGTATTTCTCTGCTGTAGGAACAAAGTGGTTCCTGAACCAATAATCTGCAATCTCATGATCTGTCCATCCTGTTGGAGAGAAAGAAACGCTGTCCAAGGATATCACAGTGTTAGTAGAGCACAATGATATGCTTATGTAGCTTACTTACCCACCTACTTTATCTTTTAGATCTCGAATATCTGGGGCTGGTCCTTCTGAAAGGACAAACCATGGTGGTATCTTAGCACCTGCAGCTGAGATGCACTTGATAATGGTTATGAGCTCTAGATTATTGCTATGGACCTGATAACAATCTGAATCTTCTGCAGAGAAAATGAATTTCATGCCAGCATTTTTCCTTCCCCTGCCCATTTGATTGCCTTTCTTGTCCATATTCCAATGATGCTCTGGTGGAATTTTATTATGGTCATCATCAAGCTTCTTTCGCATCTCAAAAAACTCCCCAATGGTATCCTTGTTAAAATTTTGAGCACGTTTTGGATCCAGTCCACTTGCTTGAGATATATGAAGGGATGGATGTTGATGAATGAAGCCATAATGCCACTTTCATGATGGGAGTTGGCCAGTTATTTCCTTAACAGACACACGCAACTTTGCAGGGTGAATAGGAGTTGCAGACGTGGATGCCAGGTTACACCAGTCAGCAACAGTTTCCTCTTGTGCAGCAGATAATAATTGCTGGCTCTTGTGGGCATGCTGACAAGACTTATGCACTCCCAAGCGTTGGTCACTCAGTGTCTGACATGATACCTAGACCAGTTGAGTGAATAATCACATGATGAAACATGACTCACATTCTGTTCCTTAGCTGCAGCTGCAATGGATTTATATAACCCATTTGCAATTCCCTGAATTGCAGCCTGAATATGTGACTCATAAGTTGGGTCTGACGAAGCTCACAGCTTTCCTCATCTGCCGCTGCTAGACTTGTGAATGTGGACCAGCCCCATAGCCAGCAGCACTGCACCAGTTGGCACTTCCAAAGTGGGTGTGTGCAATTTGAGACTCCGTCACAGCACATATCGGCAGGTGACATTTCTGTGTGACTTTGGCACTTTTGACTATCTCGCTCAATTCTGCTTTAATCATGGTTGTTCAACCTTGTAATGAGTTGTATTAGACAGAGAATGATACCTATGTTAAGAATTTTGTGTTTAAGTAGCTAGAAATACGAGTTTTGTGAAAGTGCTGACTTCTGTGGGGTGCCGATTGCAGTGGAAGGGATAGTACCATCATTTTGCCATCGTCTCACATGCATTTCATGTCAATCACATTGATCGCACATGTACACAATTGATGCAACACATTTTCATTCATGTGCAACCTTGAAACCTATCCCATCATATTGCTAGTTCTACCCTCCTTGTGTAGTAACTCTCTTTGGTGTAACCGGGGGGCAAAACACATAAATAGGTGGAACTGGCAGAAGGAAGGTTCGAAGATCCAGTAAGTACAATTCAATCATATCTTGTTCAAAGTTCTCATTTTGTTCTGATGATCTAGTGTGTTTCTTGATAGTGTTTTTGTCGATGTGCACACCACTTGCATTCATGTGCAATATTGCTGGACTCCCTTTGGTGTTTTCGTATGTCTGATTCCATGTCTTACATAGATCTATTAACTGATAATTGGCAATATCAGCCTACCTATGCCCATAGACCTGCCAGTGGGTTACATGTGTGTCTGCAAGAGGCACAATGGCAGTCATCCCCATGCTGTCTCTCGCTCTACATGGTACAAACACTTGCAAGCAGCTGAAACCGAGGAAGAAAGAGACACCATTCATGCCAGGGAATCTCTCTCTCAATTTACATGCACAGATTTGAGCTCACGCTGATGCCCTTGGTGAATTGTCTTCAAGTGCTGGTCCTTCTCGAAATGTTGCAACTGATGCAGGAAGCTGTCTGCCAGAAAGACCTGATGAGGCAGCACAAGGGAGTCATGTACGAGAGCACCACCTGCCTACCCCATCATCTCCACATGGCAAATAGCATGGCCTTGTTGATGAAGACCCCATCATTCCCATGGGTGACAAAGATCAGGATTTCAACATGCAGGATAATGGGAATCTAGATGGACCAGGTGATGGGGATATTGGTGGATGGAGGGATGGGAATTTGGATGGGTGGGGTGATGATGGTCGCAGAGATGAGGAGGTCCATGCCCCACAACACGATAATCGGAGAGAACAACCAGCTATTGATATCGAGGAACTCGCACAATGAGCTGTCCTCCCTAAAATCAAAACAACCATGGAGTTTATTTTAGCACTGCAGTCTGCATCGTTAGGCGACCCTGTTGCAAAACTTGATGAAGAGGCCAGAAGTAACTTGTGGAACCCTCCTCATGAACCTCTGGATATCACCAATCCCATCATTTGCCACTTGATCTCAACCTACTATGCTCTTGAGCACTCGTCACAGAGCGCTTACGAATGCATTCATTCTTCTACAGCATGCACGTTCCCTGGTACAGATGAGATGCCCAGTTTCTATAGGATTGAACACATGATTGCCAAGTACACTGGAGTTGAGTCTATAACTCATGTAATTGCTTTCACCGGTCCATTTGCTGACCTCGACCACTGCCCTGTCTGTGACAAACATCGGTATGATCAAATTAAACTGCAGGCTACCAGGGGCCATAACAAAGTTGCCTGGAAATTCCATACCATTCCTGCTGGACCACAGCTCCAGGCACTTTATCATGATCACAATAGTGCAAAATGTATGTGATATTGCACTGACTGCACAGCAAAACTATTTGACGAACTTCATGAGTCAGGGGGGTTGATTGACGTGTATGATGACTTTGTGATGGGGAGCGATTATCTCAATGCAGTTCTTGAAGGCAAGATCAGCAAGAATGATATCATATTGATGATATTGATGGATGGCGCTCAGCTCTACCAGAGCAAGCTATTGGATTGCTGGCTATATATTTGGGTTGTTATGGATCACGCTCCTGATGTTCAATACAAAAAAAAACATGTCCTTCCTGGTGGATTTATCCCTGGCCCCCACAAACCAAAAAACATTGATTCATTCCTCTTTCCTGGTCTCCATCACCTTGCTGCACTTCAGAATGAAGGCCTCTCAGTCTATGATGCCTGGTGCAATACTGTGTTCTTATCACATCCATATCTTTTTCTTGCAACTGCTGACAGTCTGGGTCTCATGTATTTCGATGGAATGGTTGGTCACTGTGGCAAGAATGGATGCCATCTATATTGTGGTGTGATCGGGCGCCGAAAGGAGTGAGGAACATATTACTATCCTGTCCTCCTTCATCCAAACAACTTCCATGTCACCGGATGCAACCATCCTGATGTTGATGTGTTCAACCTTCCTCTTGCTGCATCGCAGAACTATGCCACAAACCTCCATCTTGTATCATCTCCAAATCAATGTCAGTATGACAAGTGCAAGACAGAAACCGGCATCACGAAACCCAGCATTCTCCTCAGTCTCAATCCCTCTCATATGCTACAAGTACCCGCTTGTTTCTCCACAGATATTATGCACCTCGCTGGGCTTTTGAGTGACTTATTACTTTCACTCTGGTGAGGAACAATCAATTGCACAGCTTCAGATGATGTCAAGTTGTGGGAATGGAGAGTTATGCATGGTGATGTGTGGGAGGCTCATGGCAAAGCCGTGGCAGCTGCCGGACAATATCTTCCTGGTTCCTTCAATTGAAAACCATGCAACATAGCAGAAAAAATCGATACCAGTTATAAAACATGGGAGTTTCAATTGTATCTGTTTGGCCTTGCTCCTGCACTTACATATGGCCTTCTGCCAGAGCCATACTGGCTTAACTATTGCCAGCTCATTGCAGGCTTTCGGATCATATGCCAGCATCGTATTGCTCGCTCTGATTTGCAAAGGGCCCAGGTCATACTTGGTGAATGGGAGCTAGAATTCGAAGAGCTATACTATCAGCGCCACCAGGATCAGATACATTTCATCTGCCCTTGTGCCCATCAAGTCAACCATCTCGTGTCCAAAGCCATTCAGAAAGGACCCCCAGTCTGCTATGCCCAGTGGATGATGGAGAGGACCATCGGAAACCTGGGCCAGGAGATCAGACAGCCTTCCAAACCTTACGCAAACCTTTCCAGAGAGGGAGTCTGTCGCTTGCAAGTCAATGCCCTCAAGGCAATGCTTCCAGAGCTTGATGAACCACTCAAGGGACTTCCCAGTGGTGCAATTGACCTTGGCGAAGGCTATGCTTTGCTCCAGAAACAAGATTGTTGGTCAGCCTACCCACAAGGTGCCGAAAAACGTGCTATCACACTCTTCCTGAATGAGCCTGCTCCTGAAATTTTCAAGTGGGCTTGTCTTAAGTTGCCTAATGGACAAATTGCATGTTCACTCTGGTGGGAGTCATTGAAATCAATGGATGCCACTAAGCCTCTACGAGTTTCTCATAATGTCAAGGTAGTTTTCTCGCTACCAATGTTAAATACTCTCAAGGCTCTAACACCACATGTTTAGTTTTCTCTTGATGGTGTGATACAATTTGGAGAAGTCCACTATTTCATGCAGCTTGCTATGGAGACCATTGGCAGTGATGATGGCAAAATGGAATGGTCATTCGTCAATGTCGCAGTCATCTCACTGTTTTCCCTCCCAGATAAGGAACTTCTTGAACTCTCATCTCATGTTGTTGCATCCTGCACTAATCATGGAGATGATGATATACTGTTAAGGTTGTACTCAAGGGATAACTGGATCCAAAGGGCTTCGGCCTCAGCTCATGCACTGTGCCCCTTACCTGAGTATTGCCCCTTATTTCAGGTAGGGCTGGCCACTGTAACCATATATGGTTACGGCCATACAATTTACAGTGGGCTTACAGGTACTACCTGTACCATACCGTATGTCATACAAAACATTCAAAACATTCGATGGTATGGTATGGGTCATCATACGGTCATATGACCGGCTATATGGTTGTACAGGAGATGAAAAAACGTCGAATTACAGTAGTACTAACCATGTAGCAAAAGGTATATACAAATATGAATCAATCAATCACTGTGATAGCATTATGAGTGAGGCGCAGATGCTGCTTAAGCAACATCAATGTCCTGATAGTGTTGGGTTGGAGACTAGCATGCTGAAGAGAGATAGTATCATGGCCAGCGGAAAAGATGTGTTCGACAGCAACAGCGGAGCCTGCACAACATGCGGGGAATTAGTGTACCTATGTACAATAGTTGAGCAGATTGAACTCACCAGGAATAGCAAGAATATCCTGAGCCAGACGTGAGAGGTTCAGAAATTGTGAGTGGCGGCCTGCCCACCATTGAATGGGGTCACAGGCATCAAAGTCCTCCATGGGCAGCCTAAAGTACTCCTCGAGCTTGTCTCTTGAGGTCATTGGGCACTTCTTGTACCGAGCTGTAAAGTTCACTTTCTGTGGTGATCCAGATGGGGTTTCTGCTGCCACAGGTTGAGGAATGATGGTGGGGGAACTCAAAGCTTGCAATGAAAGGTAATTGTTTTGATAATACCGGCGCAACTGGTCCTTTGCATTGTCCAAGTGGTCACGTAGTGTTTGGTCATCACATCCAAGGCCTCCTTGACTGGGAGGCAAGAAAAATAATTGTTGCCATTGACAGTGACTTTTTTTTTTGGGTACATGATGAGAATGGTGTTGGTGGCATGAGGGCCGATCATCATCAGTGTGGTTGCCTTCAGCTTGGATGAGAGCATTCATGCGCTCAACATTTTTGGGATGTCTCCCATGGCCAAGAACCTCCTGAAAGGCTTGATCCTTGGCAGGTACACATGTGGTGGGAGCATTAGATGACATTGAGCAATTGTATGAGATTTGGAAGGGGGGACAGCAAGCAATGAGAGTAAAGCAACAGCGCTGGTGGATATCTTGACTGGTGTCATGGTTCCTCCAGAATCAGAGCAACGGAATTGAAGAACATAGCTGGACATGACATAGTACATGTTAGAATCTGATTGATTATATATTGTAGTAGAAGATGCACCAGTACTTTGAGGATTTCCATGGCGTGAGGATCAGGTCCAGAACAACTTGTTGTAAAATAAGACATATGGCTACTGCATGTATCAAGCTAAGTCTATTTGTTTATACACAATAAACAAACCATACTCACACTGTATTACAGCCATAGTAATACAGCAACATACAGGCTCCTTACACCCATAACCCATAACCATCAACTGAAGGTCTAAACAGCCAACAGTACAGGTATGGTGACCATATTATGGCCCCATAAAGTCCTATCATATGGCATATGATGAACAGCCCTAATTTCAGGAAGGCAAGACTAATGTGTCCAGAAGGTTGGACAAGTATCGTAGCAGATCCGGATGACTTCTGGATGCAGGATAGGTATCATAGGGCTAATCCGGACTAGTCCAGACTAGAAACTAATGGTAATGGACTGTTGGAGACAGAGGCGGATACAGATAGACTATAGGAATCAATCCTAAGTCTCAGAGGGTGATGAGAGTAGAGATACTCAAGTCCAGAGGACAGGAATGAGTAGAACTAAGATGATATTTGAACTGAGGTGCTACAGAGAGTTACAGGAGGTTATATACTATAGGTATCTAATGGAATGATCAATCAGCAGAGTCCAAGGCTATGTACGAAGCATATGGGTAGTCTATTGGTAAGTAGAAACAGATCACAAATCATGAAATGGAAATGAAACATAGGTAACAGATCAGGGAGCAGGACAGATATACAGATAACTGAAATACCAGAGTTAGGGGGTTACTGAAAAGAGACGAGCACTGATTGTGGATTCAGATGAGTTGTGGACCGGACTGGATGAGTGGACAGATTGAATGATGAGATGTTGGAGGGAGATAAGATGTGGATAGGATCTGAGATAAGATGTGGATCTGAGATGAGATAAGGGTCGGATCTGAGATCTGGATATGTGGATATGACACCAGCTGAAAGCACAAATCTACTGTCCCTGATCCTGTGGTGACTCCATCTGACATGCTGACCCCACTGTCCACACCCACACTGCCATCCAATGATATGCCCACACCCCCTGCATCAGCTACTGTCAAGTCAGCAAGTGTTAAAAAATTTCGACCTTGTACATCGAAGAATGGAAGGTATGTCATGTGTTGGTCTAGAACACAGTAGCAACCTTTGACATGGAGTCTTGGACTTAGGTCACTCTGCACACATCAGTGGTTGAAGCAGGTTGCTCCAAATGGCTCATCAGCCAATTTCAGGATTTACTGGTCCAGATTGACAAAAGAGAAGCAGCTGGTAGGTACTCCTGTGATACATGTTTCACAACATTGATTTCTGTCTTGCAGGCTTATGAAACAGACATGCTGAAGCTGGTAACAAACTTGACTAAATGCGCCCTCATCCTGATGCAGGTGTTTACAATTTTTTTCTCAGGTCAAGGATGATATATGGAACAGCAATACAGTTGACATCATCAGCAAGATCTCTTCTGGCACCTTATACTAGTTGGCATCCAGGGCGCATGCAGAGGTCGACATCAGGTGGCCTGCTGGTGAGGACCAGGGGGGTGGCAGGCCGCAGTGGGCAGTATCAACCAGCTATTCATTTGCTTTTTCTTGCAATGTATATCAGCATCATTTTCATGCAATTTCCATAGTTTTATTGCCTGGTACAACTACAATTGAGAATCTACGATCATCGATGGAAATATCATATGTGAGAATCAGCACAAAATTGTGAGATCTCCGTCGAACAGCATCACTAGAAAATCTCATATATGTCCCATTCTCTATGGAAATCTATGGAAATCTTATGTTCCTGGTTCATCCCCAGGGAAAACTGGACATGGCCAAAACTGTTGGAATCATGCAAAATATGACAAGTTTGGGAGCAACATATTTCGCTATAGGAGACTTGCTGTGGAGACAAATAGAATATTTCACATCCATTGTGATCTTCTCGAATATTGTAGGGTATGTTGAGAATATTTATATCATATTTCACCACATTTCTTTCAGTTGCGTGTATGAAATAAAATCAGTTGTATTCATGCCAATTGTGCTATAATCTAATGGTACAAATAACTTGACTGGCAACCAGAAAACATGATATGTGACCAGAAAGCACGATAACAATGCGAAACACAGCAGATCAACATGGCAGCAGCAAATACAACACAGCAATGAGGCTGGCAAGCGAGAGCAAACAACTGCAGGGCAATGAGGCAGGCAAAAGCAGGTGAGCGAGAGCAGATGACTGTGGGGCAATGAGGCAAGTGAGAGCAGACGACTGCAAGGCAATGAGGCAGGCGAGATTAGGAAAGCAATAGGGATACTAGTATAATGAACTGTTGGCAATGTCACTATTCTTCATCCAGCCTGCATCTTGTTCCTAGATATTCTCAGTGACTTGACAATGGAGAGAGTGGCTGAACTTACTAGCTGCTTGGCCTCAGTATCATAAGATTTGATCTGCACCTCATTCAACTTCAAATAGTAGACATTGAATTCATTAGTGGAACCAGCTGCATTGACTTGTTTAAGCCAGCAGAATGTGCAGAGGTTCCTATACAATCAGATAAGTAACAATCCTTACAATTAGACAAAAACATGTACTGCGCATTCTTCTTTGGACCTGGGCACATTTTCATGGCCTTCTTTGATGACATGGCAGCAGCAAGGACATCAGACTGAGGAGAGAGTGTAGTTGGTATACAAGGTGACAGAGGTATGTTTGTGCCAGTCAGGTCCACTGTAATTGAAGGGGATGCCATTGCAGGCTTCGAAACAGAATCGGAGGGACCAAGACTAGTGGTAGTTGATTTCGATAATGGCTAACGAGTCAAACTGGCACTACATTTGCAGTGTTGTGGTTAGTAATAATGTGCAAATGTAGTAGACACTTACAGAGGATTTGTCAAAACAATGTGACTCAGAGTCAGTGGCATTGTTGCTAAAGCTGGAGGTGCTTCGTTTTCTTTTTCTGCTTCAAGCAACTTGAACAGGGGAGGAATTGAAGTATTGGAATCTGCTAGTGGGAGGTTTGTCTTGATAGGACTAGGGCTGCCTTCAAGTAGCACTGGCTGAGATGTAGGGATGTCAGAATTGACTGGCAGGAGAGGTCCTGTGGATTTGTCTGCAAAGACATTATGTGTGAGTGTATGCGTGGAAATCAAAAGAAAAAATACCTTTCACATGCTTCAAAGCACTGGCCCCCTCAGAATCAGGGCTGCATGTTCGCTTTATACTACTGCAGTAGTCAATATTGTCATCTTCTTGTTTGACTTTCTTCAACTGCTTCAAGAGGTTACTGTCGGCATCAAGATGGTTCTTGCACCATGAAGAGTAGGCAGTGCTGCACAATAAGTCCAACTTCCAGCTGTCAGTCGCTAATCTAAAAAGAGGGTGCTTCTCTTCCATGATGCTGTGGAACAGCGTTCTGGTCAAGTGCATCATTTTGCTCCAGCTGGTTGCAAGAAGTCCTTTGGTGGTGAATTTGAACCAGAGGCCATGAATGGTTTTGCAGATGATGTCAAGTGATTCTTCTGTGATCGCCTCACCATTCTTGTCTTCTAGGAAAGCTGCAGGCCCGTGCTTTCCCTTCTGTTTGAGTCCCTGTGATGTTGTCTGCCACTTGTCCCAGTCTGCACGTGTCCAAAAAATGACACCAGGATAATCATTCTTGTTGACTGGGGATAGTTGGTTTGTCGAAGATGTTGGGGAGATACTGGCACTTGTGAAAGTCATAGGATCTGCATGAACAAGCTGCACGTTACAAGCAAGTTCACAGAATGCTCCCCTGTCAAAACAAACATCAATTAAACAGTGTGGATATAGAAACACGACAGCAACATACTCCAATGTTGAATACGCAGTTTTGGCTGTAACAAGCTTGAGCTGAAGTTGGGTTACCTGATTCTGTAACATATTAATATACGAGTTGCTGTTTGAATATCCACTCTGGGGTTTTAAATCAGTGTAGCGAAATATTCATATAGATTTGACTTACTTGAAAAAGGGAAGAGTCACTTGGACGCTCTAGGTTGTCACTTGACTGGGGGTATTCAAGACCATGTAATGGCAGTAGTTGACTGGGCCCAGAAGGCAGTGGGGATGGTGTTTGTATTAACGTTGGACTAGAACTATTAGAAAAATGATAATGGGGAAGCTGGGGGGTATAGAACATCATAATGGTTGCAGAGAAGGAGAAGCATATAGGGTTGGGGTGTTTTCAAGTTGACATCAGAACCAATGCACATATAATGAGGTCAAGCTTAGTCATCAACTCACTGAAATTCTTCCAAGTCTTTCCAGTCCTCATATCCTAAGCTCCAACTACATAGTACATCTTCCATGGCTTCATCTAACATTATTGACTGCACAGATAATGTCTTTATCCAGGACAATGTCATGGTAATGGACATCGACAACCTTCTCGCTGAATGGCCAACCTACAAAGTAAATTTCACACCTCAAAATCCAGGACCTGTGGTGAGTAAACTGAATGCCTAGATACACTTGATTATATGCTAACAATTATTCTATAGAAACTCATCATCCGGCTTAAAGATGCTGTCAAGCTCATTCATATTGAAGACACAACAGATAGTGAGGCTGAGCTCTTGTTTCTGGGCAAACCAAAAGGACAAAAGAGAACCTCTTCTGATCACAAGAATAAGAAAATCAAGACATAAGAATCAATGTTCTCACCCTGAGTTCCTACTAACATGCTTACAGTAACTCAATCATTAATACAAACAAGATTGCAGAAGATCTTGCGGCCCTCAAAAAAACATCTCTGGCTTCCAGGTAGGGTTTGCTTTTATCACCTTGATTATTTAAACTAACAGAAATTTATTTACCAAAGTAACTCATTCAAAGCAAACCTGGTACGCTTGGTAGGAATCTACAAAGCTCCTGCCAACATGCCTTCTGAATGATGCAAGTTTGTTGATGACTCAGACACACCATGGCCACCTCATCACTGCTGCACTCTTAGAGACATTGAAACTAGTGAAGAAATCTCCCACTTTGACATGCTTAGGGCATTGCCTGGTGCTGTTGCAGCAGAATGACATCCTCCTCCTCTCTTTGCAGTTCTCGCACCTGTCTCATTGCAGTTCATTCTCATAACTGTCATTGCATAGTTCTCATAACCATCTTCACGCAGTTCTTGTACCCATTTCATTCATTGCAGCTTTTGCAACTGCCTTGTTGTATTTTTCCAATCCGTTTCATTGCATTGTTCACATCTGTCTCATTGCACCACTTATATCTGTTGTGCTGGACCTTGATGTTAAGAACCATGTTGCTCAAAGGAGAGAGAGACTGACTCAGAGGGGCTTGGCCTCAGCTCGTACGCTGTGCCCCTTACCCGAGTATGTGCCCTTCATTTCATATGAGGTCCGATGATGGTCCGATGAAGTCCAGAGGACTTCCGGAGGAGCACGGGAGAGTTCCGGAGGAACGCAGGAAGTGCTCAGGAGAGTTCCCACTGCAAGGTAATACTTCTACAGGAAACAGGATGGAAGGATAGGAGATCTGAAGGTCCAGAGGACTGGAGGACGGGAGGGCAGGAGGACAGGAGGACAGGAGGACAGGATGATGGAGGACAGAAGGACAGGATGTCTGAAGGTACGGAGGGCAGAACGTCCAAAGGACAGGATGCCTGGAGGTATGAGGGACAGGAGGTCCAGAGGTCCAGAAGGAATAGGGGCTACATTGGACGAAGTCCAATGTAGAAACAAACAGAGGTAGACTACCCTAAGGTAGAGTTGGAGAGACAGGGATTGGACCTAAGTCTGGAAAGAGGGTAAGTGCTGGAAAGGCAGAGCTCTGGCCTAGGGAATCAATCCCTAGGCCTGATGGTAAGACAGACTTAGGTGGACCAAAGTCTGAGAGAGGATTGGGCAAGTCTAAGTTGATATTCAAACTGAGGAACTACAGGAGTATCTACAGGGGTTATATACTGGACAATATCTGAGGGGATCAATAAGCAAAGGAGCAGGGCTATGTACAAGCATGTGGAAACACATTAGTAAGTAAGACGGAACATAAGTAAATGAACTCAGAGATGAAGACTCGTACAAGGATCAATAAGCAAGATGGAAGAAGAGGTAACTGAAAGCTGGAAAGGTAGAGATGCCTAAATGGGGATAGGCGCAGGATCTCAGACAGAGGGTGGGAATAGGTCCGGTGTTAATATCTGGAGGTCCAGAGATCTGGGGATCCGGAAGACAAGGTGGATACAGGACCGGAATATGGGAAGGTGGATATAGTCCGGAATCCGAGATGAGGTGAAGTCTGGATGTCTTGCTGGATGGAGTGTGCATAGGGTGGATGGGACAGGGGGGTATGGATCAGGCTAGCAGTGGAGATCCGATGGTCCAGAGCTCAGGGGTAAATCTAGAGCATAGTTGATCCTGCTGAGGTGTGGAGCACAGTGGAAGGGGATCTGGGAATGAGCTGGATATGAAGTGGGGTTTGGATGTAGGCTCAGAAGGCGTGGGAATATGATGGAACATGGGTCTGGATTGTGGGATATGACACTTGATCACATTCTGAATTTACTGTAATCACTGTTGTCACATGTATCTGAGTCGCAATACAAAAATAATAACAACTATTGTCAACTTGTTGCATGCAGTGAGACCTGAGTCTGATTTGGAGATTTTGGGTATGTGAAGGATGACATGGGGAACTGCAATTGCAATAGGGAAGGCAAGGAGGAGTGAGACTGAGTTGGGCAAGGCACTAAATGACCAAAGACTTTATCATCCATCCATAGCATCATCTGAATCATTATCACTGTCTTCACCTTCTACTGCATCATCTGCTGGTAAAATACCAAATGATGCCACGTCAAGGCCAGGTTTTTCCACCATAAAGAAGCGGTCCTTGACAACTCTGGATGGTAGTCTCGGACGGTGGGGAACCATTGCAACTACATCAGTAATACTCTTTGCATCAATAACATGTATATGTCATATCTGCATATCTGGATCTCAGATCTGACCCTTATCTCATCTCAGATCCACATCTTATCTCAGATCCTATCTACATCTTATCTCCCTCCAACATCTCATCATTCAATCTGTCCACTCATCCAGTCCAGTCCACAACTCATCCGAATCCACAGCCAGTGCTCATCTCTTTTCAGTAACCCCCTAACTCCGGTATTTCAGTTATCTGTATATCCGTCCTGCTCCCTGATCTGTTACCTATGTTTCATTTCCATTTCATGATTTGTGATCTGTTTCTACTTACCAATAGACTACCCATATGCTTCGTACATAGCCTTGGATTCTGCTGATTGATCATTCCATTAGATACCTATAGTATATAACCTCCTGTAACTCTCTGTAGCACCTCAGTTCAAATATCATCTTAGTTCTACTCATTCCTGTCCTCCAGACTTGAGTATCTCTGCTCTTGTCACCCTCCAAGACTTAGGATTGATTCCTATAGTCTATCCATATCTGCCTCTGTCTCTGACAGTCCATTACCATTAGTTTCTAGTCTGGACTAGTCCAGATTAGCCCTACGATACTTATCCCTCATCCAGAAGTCATCCGGATCCACTACACTACTCGTCCGACCTTCCGGACACATTAGCCTTGCCTTCCTGAAATAAGGGGCAATACTCAGGTAAGGGGCACAGCGCATGAGCTGAGGCCAAAGCCCTTCGGATCCAGTTATCCCTTGAGTATGACCTTAACAGCTGGCAAGCTTCACACTGCATGTACCTGAGTCAGTGCCAGTTTGAACAAGATTATGGAAGACTTACAGAGGGTTCTTGATAACAGGGAAGGAGGCCTACAATACTATCAGTATTTATGAACATAATACAAGCACAAGTTGGTGACTTACTACAGCTGCAACTGTTACTTCTACAGGCATCTCTGTGTCCTCAGTAATACAAGTGCTCATGTTGATGGTGTCGTTGCTATGATCAAAACAGTCTTGAGGGGTTGTATCTGCTGTGTTTGCGTGGGATGAAGCTTCTGGAGAGTTGCTTGCATCATGGGTAGTAGTAATCAGTGAAACATGGAGCACAGGAACAGACACAGGCCTGGGCTGCAGGGAAGGAGTCAACACTTCAATAGATTGTGGCTATTGTGTATCATTGGACTGTTGCTCCTGCCCAGAAGTGTCAATATCGCTTTTCTGAAAATTGAGGACAAAAGTCATGGAAATGTCTTTCAGGGGTGTGTCCTGTTTCACCTCACACTCGGGGAGGGTACTAATAGACTTGTTGCCAGTGATTCGAGACTTCGATGCATCAGACTCAGGCTTGACAGACCCAGATACTTTCCGCTGTTTTGATGTGTCATGATTGTTGAACCCTGTGTTGTGGACCTTCCTTTTTTTTGTCCAGGTGTGTAGCTGTCCATGAGGGATACTGCTCTGTTGCAATCACATGTACCTTCCATCCATTTTCGCATAAGGCAAGAATAGGGTGCAAACGTGCCATCTCCTCCACAACTTCATCAAGGATCTTGTTTCTGGTCTTGCCCCAGGTATCAGGAGCTTGGTTCTCTTGCTTTAAGGTGGCCCAGCAGCTTCACAAACTCTTTGTAATGCAAGTTACCTTGGACTTTTCAACTGGCTTGCCATTTGCATTCTCGAGGAAAGGAAAGGTTCTGTGTTCAGTGTATTGCACGTCAGGTGACTTCTTCCATGTTTCATACAAGCTAGGTGTCCAAAATCTCATATTTGGATAGGCACTCTGGTGAAGGGGTTTGGAATGCTTTCGCTCATGAGCTGAGGGTTTATAGATGGTGCATTTGAAACCAGGTGGAATTCCAGAGAACTTAGCAATGTCCAAGTCACTGACATCAAGGGAAATTGAGGTTGCAAGTATCTTGAAGGTGTTCCTGTAGCAGTATCAGGTACAGTGATAGATACATGTGAAAAACAAACTTGTATGCATCTTGAGATGCTAATAATACATTGTTCTGCTGTTTGAGAGTCTTGTTTTCGCTCACTAGAGCTTGAATCTGTTGATGCATGTGCATATATGCAGCCTTATGTGTTGATTCAGCTAGTACGTTGAATATGTTACCATATACTCACTGTTCCATTGTCATGTGGTGGACAATGTCCATAGCTAGTACTAGCCTGTTTTGATGATCCATCTAAGAATGGTGACAGTGAATCTGCCCTCCCATTGCGAGTGCACTGGAGATCTGGAAAGTAAGAAGTATCATTTGGTTCAAGCAGATTTGAAAATAGAGGCCTATGATGCTGCATTTGTGGAGTGTCTGGGAGCATATTCAGTAGGCATAAAAGTCGTAAAGGTCTAAAGGAAAGATGTGAATATCATAGTTGCTGAAGTGTTTGTATTTGATATTATCGACATTGCCAATATCTTATCATGTGCTCACAAAAACATACAGCAATTTCAATTCAAGTGCTATTCATCTTGTACATCAACTTCGACTTTGACACCAGTGAGTGTAACATCAAGCCCAGCTTTCTCTACCATGAAAAATCTGTTTTTGGTGATACCGGAAGGTAGAGTGGGGCAATGTGGAACCATAGCAACAACTGCCCTGATTGTTTTAATGTTGATAATTTGTAGGCCATTGTCACCTTCATGAATGCATGACCATACAGTTCCATGGGAGAAGTCAAGGAGCTGTGCATCTGGTAGTGAGTAAATGGAAATAAGGGCAATATTTTCCCATCAGAGATGATGTCATTCATCCATGTTGTATAATTCATCATCCACATCTTCTGGCTCATTGTCCTCTACTGCAAGTTGCATGAAGTACTGAACTTCCCCAAAACAGTCAATACCATGAACATGGAACTAATGCTGAATTGTCAGATAGTCTACATCAGTGGTAGAAATAAGTACCTTAGCATTATGAGATGTGCGGACATTCTCAGCAGAAGATTCTTTTTCTCTCCAAGTGGAATGGGCAATTTGGCCATTGGGAAGTCAAAGACATGACCACCATCTGAATTTTGGTGCAGGACAATGAAGGAAATCTGAAATAATAGCAGCCTCAAGACCATGAGCTTGCTGAGGCTTTTTATCCCAACCATGAAGCAAAACATATCCATCACCAACATTGAATGAGCCATGTGGGTGTAGATTGTCGTTGGTGTCAAACTGTGGGAGGATGGCCTTGAGAGCATTTACCTGACAGCAAAGAACACAGATCTCAGTGAAGTTAGCCATAGCATTGGATGGTTGGCACAAATTGAACTTGATGTCCCTGATTGTCTGCTTGAGAGGCCATTGGGATGAGCAACTGGGAGCACCAACATGAGTTGCTTCTTGTGTGATGTGATTTGAGAGGTGGACACATGGACAGATAAAATGAATGTGGTCAATACAATGCTGGTAATACATTTCCTCCAATTCCTGCTCCCATTCAGCAAAGGAAACACATGCATCAATGACTTCTGCAGGTGTGATACAGTACTGGCTCATGATGTGGAGTCCACGTACAAACTTGCAATAGTGTCAAAAATATCTGTCAGGGAGGACACCATAAAGCAAACCAGGGCCAATACCAAAGAGCCAAGTGATAAACTCATGTGATTTGTAGAAGGAATTGATTTTTCAACAGGATTTCGAGGGAGAACATCAAAGGAGCCAGGGAGATGCAGGTGCGTAGCAGCAACTGATTTTCCATGAGCCTCCCATACATCACCAATGAGCACTGCCCAATCCCAGTCTTGAACAGAATCAGTAACTGGATGACAGTCTGCAACACCCTGCCAAAGATCTGTATACAGTGATGCCATGTTAGCGCCTGAGAAATACATGATCTCAGAGGAGAAGCACTCAGGTACACCCAGAATGTGATCCAGTTCGAGTCCAAGGAGGATGCTGGGACCAACAATACCTGTATCTAAATGGTTTCTTTCATATTGGGCTTGAGTACATGATGCCATCATGATATGGAGATTCTCAACATAGTGTGCAGAGGTGCCTTGTGGAAGATTGGCAATGTCAATGTCATCATGTGTGCAACCTGCAATGGTGTAATTGTTCGGCTTCAGTAGGACAGGGTAGTATTGAGAGGCATGTGGCTTGCATTGTCCTTTCAAACCACAGTACATACAGCAACCATTCTTTCCTGTGTGCCCGACAAGGCTGCTCATGCAGAGAAGTCCAGGGCCATTGGCAAGTGCAAGTGCAAGAAACAGATGGGATATGAAGACAACATCACTCCAGGTGTCCCAAATATGCAGACCTGCTCTCTGAATTGAGGCAAGATGATGAAAGCCTGGATACAAGAATGATTGGATGTATTTGGGCTTATTGGGACCAGGAATGACGCCGCCAGGAAGTACATGCTTTTTCTTGTAATGGTGCTCTGGAGAATGGTCAACAATGATCCAAATATAAATCCAGCAATCAGGCATCTTGCTTTCATAGAGTTATGCGCCATTGATGGAGATCAACAGAACCATATCTCCTTGTTTGATTCTCCCCACTCTGACTGCATCAAGATAAGCACTCCCAGTGAGAATATCATCATATGCATCAATGAAGCCATCGTTCCAATGGATTTCATCAAATATTTGTTGCATCCATTTGTTCCTGTATCTCATGCTTTTCATGCTCCCTTGTTCACGCCAGAGTGCCTGTAGCTGTAGACCAATTGGAATGGTCTAGAAAACAGCACAGGGAACCTTTGTATGACCATGACTCCGTTGAAGCTGTTTCTGGTCATAACATGGCTCCCCACATGTTGGACGGGCATCAAGGTCAGCCCACAGGCCAATGAAGGCTCCACAGGAATTAATACATCTGTGGTTGATTATGGACTTGATACTGGTGAGGTCTGCAATCATTTTCTTGATGCAGTGAAGGCTTGGGACTTCTGAATCAGGGTAACATTTCTTGACAGCAGCTCATATGTTCAAGTATGCTGCTTCAGATGAATGCTAAAGGGCTAAAAACATCGAGATGGCAAGTTTGTCGCACAGATTGTCGATGTGACATGATGTTTGTGGTGGGTTTCATAGCTGCTCCAAATCCTCTCCAGTCAGCCCTACTTCATCATCAAGAGATGCTTGTTGGAGAGCACAGATGAACCCCATGTCATGCTGAAGGTGCAGAAGTTGAGCAGACTGCAGGAGCTGATCAAAGTCAAGTGCTTTCAGAGGGTTTTGCCATGGTGGAGTGGGAGGTTCTGGGGGAAATGGATGGTCTTCACCTCGAGGCAGCCCATCTGGGGGCAGGTGAGGTTCATCTGGGGGATGGTAACATCCATTATTTGGGGCTGTATTGCTATGAGGTTCATCTGGGGGCAGGCAAGGTTCATTGTCTGGGGGCAGGTGAGGTTCATCATCTGGGGGCATACAGGGCACATCTGGAGGCACCTTGAGATCAGAGTCATCAGGTGGAAAATCTTCGAAATCCACCTGTGAAATAAGATCACTATCTAGCTCTAGCATTAGACAATCAAATTGAAATATACCTCTGCATCATCACGCATACATTTTTGAGGTGGCTCAGGGTGATCCAAATTATCAAAGTCATTATTTAGTTGGTTTGATGAAGATGGGCCAGCTGGCAGAGCTACTGATGCTCAAAACCTGTCTGAAAGATGTGCTGCACATATGGCAGTTTTCTCATCCTCAGTGGGAGCCTTTTGCAGGTGCTGGTACCATGCAGATTGAGAGTGTAGCTGTCTCCACAATCCATGGCAATAGAGCTGACAGACACACCAGTACTCAGTGCTGTCTTCTTCCCTTGGTGGCATAGGTATTATTTGGATGCAAAGACTTCAACAGATTGGATCAATGTGTACAATTGTGACTGATAGCAAACAGTTTTTTCAACCAGCAACATATTCTTATTACAATGGTATGCAGCAACAACAAACAGCTATTAGTACAGGGTGTGTAATTTATAATATGACAAAGATGCAAATGCAAGAGTGGAAGTGAAAACTGCAATGAAACACATGCAAAAGCCTTAGTAGCAAAACAAACACAAGAGCTGCAAAGAGCATTCTAAGTGTCTGTTTTGTTGGGGGCAACAGCAGCAGGAATGGCTTTGACCATCTCAAACAGGTTCATTCTTTCATCTGTCCTGATATCCCCAAGAGTGTGGCAAGGGCGAACAGGTGGCCATGGTTTGTTGTCATCACCAAACTTGTGTTTGGGAATGACACGCACAGGAGCAGCTGGAGGCTCCCTGATTCTGACCAATCATACAGGATTCGCATGGAATGAGGTACTACTGTAGATATGTTTCATGTCAATTTGAGATTTAAACAAAAATAAAATTGTTCCTACTCAGAACTGGTAGATGTGATTTTGAGAGCTGTGAGACCCTCTGTGATCATGTTTGCATCAATAACAGAGCTATTGTCAATAAGTTAGTAGGTGGATGGAATGATAACATTCAAAATACTTACATCTTGACTTTCTTGTTCTTGCGGGCCCTCTTCCATCCATTGCTCAAAAACAACAACTCAGCCTCACTGTCAGTGGGTTCTTCAACATGCATGAATTTGACAGCATCTTTAAGATGAATAATGAGTTTCTATAGCAGAATTGTTAGCATACAACCAATTGGATATGTGTCTACTTACCACAGGGCCTGGTTTTTAGGCGTGAATTTTATTTCATATGCCAGCCATCCTACTAGGAGATTGTTGACTTCCATAACAATAACATTGTCGCAGAAATCTACACTGTCGGTGCAGTTAACAATATCAGCCTGAGATGAAGACATCGTAGTTGAAAGTAAGGACATACGCGTACTGTTAAGAACCATGTTGCTCAAGGGGGAGAGAGACTGGCTCAGAGGGGCTTGGCCTCAGCTCATACACTGTGCCCCTTACCTGAGTATGTGCCCTTCATTTCATATGAAGTCCGATGATGGTCCAACGAAGTCTGGAGGACTTCCAGAGGCTGGCTACTCTGCTGGAGAGCACTAGAGGACTTCCGGAGGAGCGTGGGAAACGTCCGGAGGAGCGTGGGAGAGTTTCAGAGGAATGCAGGAAGTGCTCAGGAGAGTTTCCACTGTAAGGTAATACTTCTACAGGAAACAGGGTGGAAGGATAGGAGGTCCAAAGGTCTGGAGGACAGGAGGACAGGAGGACAGGAGGGCAGGATGATGGAGGACAGAAGGACAGGATGTCCGGAGGTATGAAGGACAGGATGTCCGAAGGTACAGAGGGCAGGAGGATAGGATGTCCAAGGGTTAGGAGGATGGAATGTCCAAAGGTACAGAGGGCGGAATGTCCAAAGGACAGGATGCCTGGAGGTATGAGGGACAGGAGGTCCGGAGGTCCAGAAGGAATAGGGGCTACATTGGACTTCATCCAATGTAGAAACAAACAGAGGTAGACTACTCTAAGGTAGAGTTGAGAGACAGGGATTGGACCTAAGTCTGGAAAGAGGGTAAGTGCCGGAAGGTGGAGCTCCGGCCTAGGGAATCAATCCCTAGGCCTGATGGGTAGGACAGACTTAGGTGGACCAAAGTCTGAGAGAGGATTGGGCAAGTCTAAGTTGATATTCAACTAAGGAACTACAGGAGTATCTACAGGGGTTATATACTGAACAATATCTGAGGGGATCAGTAAGCAAAGGAGCAAGGCTATGTACGAGCATGTGGAAACACATTAGTAAGTAAGTCGGAACATAAGTAAATGAACTCGGAGATGAGGACTCATACAAGGATCAATAAGCAAGACAGAACAAGAGGTAACTGAAAGCCGGAAGGCAGAGAATGCCTAAATGGGGATAGGTGCAGGATATCGGACAGAGGGTGGAAATAGGTCCGGAGTTAATATCCAGAGATCTGGGGATCCAGAAGACAAGGTGGATACAGGATCAAATACGAGAAGGTGGATATAGTCCAGAACCTGAGACGAGGTGAAGCCCAGATGTCTTGCTGGATGGAGTGCGCATAGGGTGGACAGGATAGGGTTGTATGGATCAGGCTAGCAGTGGGATCCGATGGTCCAGAGCTCAGGGGTAAATCCGGAGCATAGTTGATCCTGCTGAGGTGTGGAGCACACAGTGGAAGGGGATCTGGGAATGAGTTGGATATAAAGTGTGGTCCGGATGTAGGCTCGGAAGGCGTGGGAATATGATGGAACATGGGTCTGGATCATGGGATATGACATGTACACAGTTATCAAGTTAAAAGCAACATGAACAGGTGATTCAAATTTCATTGTGTTCACATCATCTTGATTGATTGATTTGATTGATCCAAATGTGCAAGACATTGACAAAATTGTGTTTGCTTTGTTTGATCAACACAATGTGCGTCATCTTTCTTGATAATATGTTAAATTCACGATTTGTGTAGCTTTGACAATATTTATAAATATATCCATCATTTATGTCGATATGGTGAGGGCCAGTTCTCACTGGGTGTCATCTCTTGAAGGTCCT